GTTAAAACTGCCTCTTAAACAAAACTTAACTTCCTGAAGATGATGAGAACAGTAAGTCAAAACTAAGGTGACAAAACAAGTCATGAAACAAATCCCTTCAAAAACCGATTTGGGGCAAGTATGTAACTATTTTTAATAAGAAATTGTATTAAGTATAATTATACAGTTTCATCTAGTGTGAAAGGTATGATTATACCTGTTTGTAACAGTGTTTTTTGTTGTTGTTGTTGTTGCCTTTTTTACAGGGATTCAACCAGTTACATGAAATAACTCCCTCCTCTGGGGGCAGGTTTCTGCAGCAGGGGATAGAGTTCTGTGGCTGGGAGCAGGGGAGAGGGAATAGGGGGCAGGGTTCTGCAGCAGGGGGCAGGGTGCCAGTGGGGACAGAGAGTCCCCTGCACCTGCCGCCGCCTCAGGATTTCCCGTCCCCCCCAACCCCCAGAGGAGGGAAGCCCTGTCGCACACCTCCTCCCTCCGATGGAGCAGGGAAGCCCCCGTCACGTGACCCCTCTGGGCCCGACTCCCCCCTCCCACAGAGAAGGGAAGTCCCAGTGCGTGCTTCTTCGGCACACTGCAGACCTGGGGCAAGGAAGCAGCCAGTGCATTTTCGGAACCCCCGGAAGTGACGCGCAGCTGCAGAACTTCCGTCCACCCCATGGGAAGCTGCCACTATCTCCATTGTTGCTGGAGGTAGGTAGTGGGGCTTCTTGGGGTTGGGGGGAAATGAGGGGCCCAGAATGCCTCACAATCGACCAGTTGAGGCTTTGCGATCAACCAGTTGATCGCAATCGACTGGTTGGTGACCACGGGTCTAGATGGTGCTTGGTCCTGCCATGAGATCAGGGGACTGGACTCGGTGACCTCTAAGGGTCCCTTCCAGTTCTAGTGTTCTGTGTCAACATTGCTGTGTGTGCTGGGTCACTCTGCCCCTTGCCCAAACTGCCCCTCTATGCAGAAACTTATTGCCAACTCTAAATATCCAAACGTAATGAGTTAAATCCCTAAAAATCATTAAATTGTCTTAAATGATGGAAATTCATGTTGGGAGTGGTAGTGAAGGGCTTTATTTGCCTTTTGGTTTCCAAATGTTCAGGATAGACTTGAAGAAATGGCTTTTACCTTCCCTCCAATCCTCACTTCTACTCCAGACAGGAAAGGGTGGCTTTCCAGAAGAAGCTGTCTAGAATCTTTAATATGGTGATAGCACTTGCCATACCAGAACTTCCTTTCTGAGCTGTGGTGGAAAGGATTTAACATGTTTGTGTGCTTGTTGTTTGTTTGCATGAATTAATGTTCCTGAACATGTGATTGAAATATGTATCGTCAACTATTTGAATGTGCAGACATTCCCATTTGATTCTGTGTTCAGGAACATAATCACTATATATTGTTTAATTTTTTTTAAGATATATAGTTACTCTTTTATCTACTTCTCTTATGCCTACATAAGGATTAAGAGCTGGATCTAATAAGGTAAGCAGAATATTCTGTAATGTTGGAAGGGCAAATTTTAATTGTTGAGAACTGTGACACTTAGATGTACTTCATCAGTGCATTTAATCTGTAAGCAAATGTAAAACATTAAGTTCCCGTGTAGCTGACTGTTTTGTTTTTAAATTGCTTATTTAGACATTTAAATTTAATAGATGTGACATCTTTTTTTTTAATTCAGTGTCTTTGTAAAGTCTGATGTATGCTCCACTGTACATGTTTAGTAAGAAGACTTTATTTTTATACTCCATATTCAGGTTATTATCCAGCAAAGTACTTAAATTTGTGTTTAGCTTTAGGTATGGCCCCACTGATTTAATTGGCATTTCTTATGTATTTCTGTGCTTTACTGGTTTCAGAACTTTAGAGGCCCAATCCAACTTCTAGCGAAGTGACATAGTAGGAATTGGATCAGGCGCGTAGACCCCATTCTACAAACACTAAAGCAAGTGCTTTGCGTTTACCATGAGTAGCAGTAATGAGATCTTCATTTATGTGGGACTGTTCAGTGATATTGTGTATGTATTTTGACAACCATTCATGCACACTAAGGCAGTGGTTTCCAACCTTTTTTGTACTGTGGACCAGCAAACCCATTCATAAACTTTTGGCAGACTGGTAGCATTTTATTTGCATATTTATTATGCAAACAATGTTACCAGTCTGTAATGGATCAGAGTTTGCAGATATCACTAAAACATTCACAGAAAGGATTCCCCTCTGGCTGCTGGGTGGGGCAGCCCCTCACTCGGAGCAACTGGTGTCTGCAGAGGGATGGGTGCAGGGAGGGGCACCCACCCTCACTCAGGGCAGCTGGTGTTTGCAGAGGGATGGGTGCAGGGAGGGGCACCCACAGGGGTAGGAGGCATTTGGGGCACCTTATTTAGTAACTGAAATTTTGTCAGTGGCATAGGAGCTGGAGCCCCAAGCATTACCACCAGGCACCTCTGCCCTTTCCCACTCCTGCCCCAGGGGATGGGGGAGCTGCCATTGTATCTCTCCCTCATCCTTCTGTACATCCCCTGCCCTGTATGTCTCCCTTTCTCAGCCAGGCTGCTCTTGCTACTAAAGTCTCCCCCAGCCTCCCTTCCCCTCATTCCTCCCTGTGAGCCCCCTCTTCAGAGTTTCCCTTCAGTGCACCCCTGCTCCTATCAGCCCCATAAGTCTCCCCTGAATCCTTCCAATGTCCCTTCAGCTCCTCCTGCATCCTCCTCCTGCCCCTGTCCCTTCGGCTCCTCCTGCATCCTCCTCCTGCCCCTGCTTCATACATCCCTGTTCCCCCTCATTCACCTTACCTACCTCCATCCCTCTTCAGCCCCCCAGCCCTGGGAGCTGGTGGCAGCTTCCCTAGACCCTGGGCAAGGATTGCAGCCACCTTTGCTTGGAGCAGCCCAGGGCCAACATCTCCCTCCCCCCACTTAGATTCGGGGCA